AGAAGAAATAATTAATATAAATGAAAATTATTACAAGAAATAATAATATATGAATAAAAATATGAAATAAGTAAAGTAAGAAATGAAGAATAGAATAATAATCAAATTTCAATGAATAAATTTAATTGAACGATTTTTAATAATATTTTATTCAATAAAAAAAATGAATAAAGAATTGATTAAACAACAACTAAATACACCAAATGAAATTCTAAATAAAAGAATATATTAATATATAAAGAAATAGATAAATAAAATTATAAAAACTATAAATATATTTCAATTTTAAGTTATGTATTAAAAATAAAAATAAATAATGATTATTAAACAATAATAAAATAAAATAGATAATATAAACATAACAAAGATTTAATATATTTTATAATCATCTAAAGAATGATTAAATGAAATTATTATTACAAGTATATTTTATTAGAATTTAAAATGATAAAAATATACAATGATTTTATGAAATTATATAAATATAAAATATTTTTGATAATAAAAATATTAAATAAAATAATAAATAAGAAAATATAATATAAATAATGATAAATGAATAGAACAATTAATAATATATAATTCTAGTAATGAAATGATATAAAGAAATATAAAGTTGTTGTTCATAATACATTTAGTGATGATTAAATCAAAAGTAATTAAATAAATACAAAATAATCAATAATTCTTATGTGTATTAAGTTTGATTGTTTATTTAAATATTCATTGATTATTTTAAATATCAAATCAGTAAATATTGATGTATTTCATTGTTTATTCTTTATTATATTTATTTATTTTTGATTGTATTTTATTATTAAAACTTGTTTATATATTGTTCTTATATTTATTTTATTTCAATGATAATAAACACAATATTAATGAATATAATTTATAATATGATATAATTCAGTTTTATTAATTGATAATTTATCATTGATTTAATATTAATTTAATGATTTATTTATTATTGAATAATATAGTTGTTTATATATTCATTCAACATGTTTATTATCTATTCTATTATTTAGATTTAGTATAATTGAAATTATATATTCATCATATTCATTCTTTATGTGATTTCACGTTTTCATTATTATCTCGTGTTATTATTTCATTAAACATCTTGTTAATGATTTAAAAATTGAATATGATTGTTTAGAATATCGTTTCTTCGTCATTTCATTTATCAAATAATGTAATATTTAATACAAGAAATGATAATAATTAATAAAATCAATAAAGAATGATATAATTCATAAAATTAATGATTTAATTGAATAAATTAGAAATATAAAGAGAAGAATATGATAATAAAACTAATATTTGTGATATTAGATATGTAAATAAATTAATTAATAGATTAACTGATTTTATGAAAGTTAATAATGAAGATAATGAAACAATTACATTATAGATTCAATATAATAATAATTCAAAACTGTGAAAAAAATGAATATACAAGTAAATAACATTAATTTTGATTATCCTTCAAAAATAATCAAGTTAAATGTTTTTCTTTAACTATTATTCTAAAAAAATATCTTCAAATGAAGTTATAAAGCAAAAAAATTATAAAAGAAGTATATTATGTAACACAAAGTATAGGAACAATACTATTAAAAATAAATAAAGTTAATGAAATTAAAAAGGATAAAATTATAGCAGATTCTTATATTAAAAAAGATTTAAATTTTAATATATTATAAATTATAACAATATTGTTATAAATTTAAATAAATTATTTTAAAAAAATTTACATCATTCTAAATTATTTTTAAGTTATATCTATA